ATAGAAAGCAAAATAAAAGAAAAAAAATCAACTACAGATTCTGTCATCCAGACATGTACCATAGATTGCTCCATTTTAGCCTTGCTGTGACCATATTCATGTTGTTCAAGTATATCGAATTTTTACTCTAATGCAATAATGAGCCTCTTTTTAAAATTTGTACTGTTTCCTCTGATGGAATTTTCTTTTCCACCATTTTACACACACAAAGATTAACACATGAAAAACCCAATTGCAACGGCGTATGCACTAGCCTTAGTTGCCCACTCACTGGCCTCGCATTCACTGAATTTTAGGTCACGTTAAACACACCAGGCGTCAATTTACAATTCACACTACATCAAATATTGCATTGTTTGAACTTCTGCTAATTGTAACCTACCTGTGCTTCAATCTCCCTGCCGATCTAAAATTTCCAGACAGTCTCCAAACCTGAGAGAAAGCCTTCTCCCTCTCAAGGGTGGCTTTAACAGGCACCCACAAGAAATTCCTCTCCCCTTCCTCTCCTACATAGAAAGTGGTCTATCTAGGTATCTTCTGAATCAGAAACTAAGGAGGCAAGTCGGATGGACTGTTGGTCAGAGGAGAAGGATGACCAGGGACCTAAGCAACTTCAGGTTGAGTAAAGTAATGGGACACCGTGATGGCAGCTATGGAGTCAGAACAGAGGTAATCTTCTCTGAAGAGGTAAACATTGTGGCAGAAGAGGGCAGCCATGGACCTCGTCAAACCACAGCAGTGACTGGCATTATGGAAGACCAGTCTTAGCCTTTAACCTTCCACCACCTCTCCAACTCCAGACTTGCGTTCCTGTTGCTCCTGTCCCTTGTCCTTCATTTGGACCAGCTCATGGAATCCTCAGAGGTTACAATCTCTAGAGTTCTCTTTGGAAGGTTATGACATAACAGTTACAGTTTTCAAACTGTATTTGAATAGTGTTCTCTCTGCGTCAACTGCCACACAACAAAATGGCTGTTCTTTTAACGATAAATGCAGAATTCCAGCAATATGGAGGAAGCAATATGAAGGAAGCAAGTGTTCCAATATCTCAGGGGCTGCCACAAAGAAGAGGGGGTCAATTATTCTCCAAAGCACCTGAGGATAGAACAAGAAGCAATGGGTGGAAACTAATCAAGGAGAGAAGATACTTAGAACTAAGGAGAAATTTTCTGACAATTAGTGGAACAACTTGCCTCCAGAAGTTGTGAATGCTCCAACATGTACGTTTTTAAGAAAAGATTGGACAACCATGTGTCTGAAGTGGTGGAGGGTTTCCTGCCTAAGCAGAGGGTTGGACTAGAAGACCTCCAAAGTCGCTTCCAACTCTGTTTTTCTATTCTATTCTAAGGACAGCAGAGAAGATTAGAATAAGATTACTTCCTGTCATTCAGAATACTGCTTATAAGTGCTAAGACACTTCTATGCCTGAATTGAGAAACATGTCAAGCATGTTCTTCCCAACAACTCTGGTTGGGGATTGGAAGTTTCCCAAGAAATTGTGGGATATTCCAGGAAGCAACCAACTTGGCTTTGGGATTTAGGTTTAGAATAAATTTCTACCCTAATTTAGATATTGTGTTTAGTTTTAATTTATTTTGTTTATGCTTAAAGCATTATTCTCTTATTCTTATTTCTCTGAATAAGTAGAGCATTCTATACAGGTTTAGACTAGTCTCCAGAATATTTATGCTATTATTTCTTTTTAAGTAAAATTGAATTTGGAAGCAAAGCTCTTCCCCAGCTTATTAGAAATAGTGAACCAATGCCATCTTTGAGGAAAGGTGTTTTTTTTTTGGTAAAGTAAAGTTTGATTTTATTTATCTTCAAAAGTAGAAAAGAAAATTGAAATCTCTATTCATGCTCCTGTATGCTACTGGGCCAGAAAGCTGAAATCCTCACCCCACCCCAGTTTTATCTTTTTATTGAATGTAAGGCAAACCAGATAGAATTAAGAGGGAATGCCAGATGATCACCCCATGAAAAGTATATAGATCCTGAGGGCTTCTGTGAGAGAAAATTTGAGACTCTTGCCCTATGGACTCAGCTGGGCTGCTACATAGTGCTATCTGTGGGATAGCAATGGCAACAGCACTTAGACATATACCGCTTCACAGTGCTTTACAGCCCTCTCTAAGCAGTTTACAGAGTCAGCATATTGCCCCCATCAAGTTGGGTCCTCATTTTCCCAACCTTGGCAGGATGGAAGGCTGAGTCAACCTTGAGCCGGTGAGAACTGAACTGCCAAACTGCTGGCAGCCGGCAGTCAGCAGAAGTAGCCTGCAGTACTGCATTTTAACCACTGCGCCACCATGGGATAGAATGAACGCTAGATGACATCTAAGAGCAGGAATAGCAATAGTAATAATACAGGTAGCTTCAACCTTCGACCGCAATTGGGACCATAATTTCTGTTGCTAAGGAAGACGGCTGTTAAGGGAGTTGTGTCCAATTTTATGACCTTTTTTTTGCCAGTCACAAGTGGTAATCAATAATACCAGAAAAACAATGAGAATGAGAATGAATCCTGTCCTTTATCCACACACATTGATGTTAACAGACTCTATTTAAAGGCAGAGAGCCCCCACTTTTTTCTCTTTCATGCAAAATAGCCATTTCCTATTTGAGGACTTAATAAAAGAAACCCAAGTTTGTATTTAGGGCTTTGGAACGCAAATTATAAGCCATAAATTAATGAATTACCACCAGTTACAACAAAGTATAGTTTCAGGAATTATGAACTAATTTTTTTTAGGGCTTTTGAAAATCTTTTCACGTACTACATTGATCTAATTCATTGTTTCCACCCTCATGACCTGTATGAAAAATTTATATAGACCTATTGTTTACCGCTATGTTTAATATATGCACTCATATAAATTAAATTGTTAAAAAAAAATCTAATAAAAAGTCCATATGCAAGTTTTGCTGACAACTTGCAATTCGGGTGGTAATTCCTCTGTGGCTTTTATATAGTCCACTAAAGTCTCTCAAAATGTCTGACATTACTGAACAGCTATGCCGAAGTAGTTTGAGATAAAAGGGCTCAACTGAGTAGTAAAATACATAGCTTGCATACAAAAGAGATTTGGATCCAAGAAGTAACATCTGCAGATTGAGGGGGGCGACCTGAAAGCCTGCAGATTTACTGTTATTGCTATATACAATAGATAATATTGAGCATGATTAATGAGGCAGCTTCCTCTCTTCCTGAGTTAGATATTTGGAAATACTCTTGTACAGTCTTCTGTATTTCTGCCTCTTCCCATGGGGTAATTTAGATTAATGATGACAGCATAGAAGGGCTAAGTAGTCAGGTTGTTTATTACAGAATTCTCGCATCTAGTGTCCTTCAGATGCATTCAGTTCAAAATCTCCCAGCTAGCCTGGTCAATGCAATGGAATTCTCTGAGTTGGAGTCCAAGAAGTTGAAATAGGGGAAACCGATTGCTCCAGGGTTCCAAATAGCATCCAAAATTAAATCAGAGTCCGAGGCAAAAAATTCCTCAAAGTTCCAATTTATTAAAAGAGCCATGTTGGCACACCTGGGAAAACCTGAATCTGAAAGCTTCCAGGTTTTCCCACCCAGGTGAAAGTCCAAGATCCTGCCCCAACACCTACAAGTGTATCACATGGTCCAATCTTCCACTGCCATGAAGGCAGAGTCCACTCATCCAGTTCCAGCCAGGTGCAGAGACAAAAGATGACCTTGAGTTTCTAAGAAGAATGTTATTATGGCTACATATCACTCAACTCCGTATAATCCCCACTCCCATTTTCCCACAATAGAAAATGAATAGTAGCAAGTGTGGCAGGCCTGAAGTCCAAAAAGAAAAGATGGCTTGCAGACCTGACAATTGCTTTGTGTCCTTAAGAGCCATGAAAGTCCTTTCAAATCTCTCACCAAAGATACAATGGAAGTACAGATAGTCCTTAACTAACTATGGTCACTTGGTGATCATTTGAAGTTAGGTTAAAAAAATAAATAAAGGCAAAGGAGTCCCTGTGGATTTTACTCAGTGTTTGCCAATCATAGGGGGCAGTGCTTCAAGGCTACTGAGCAACCACTGTCCAAAGATATTTCCACAGTCAGATGGCCAGCATGACGTCACAGAGTACTTTTATCTTCCTACTTGAGTGGTACCTATTTATCTACTTGCATTTGTATGCTTTCGAACTGCTAGGTTGGTAAGAGCTGGGGTGAGGGCAGGCGCTCACCTGTCGGGTGAAGCTCGGGTCTCGAATCTCGGCTGCCAGCTTTCCAGCCAACAAGCCCAGTGTCTTAACCGCTGAGCTACCGCGCCGCTTGTGAAATTAGGATAGACGCAAAAACACAGTACTTATGACCCAGATTCTAAATCCTAATGACTCCCACCCCATAATCTTGGGATCACATTTTGGATACTCGACAACTAACCCACAAATGTGCAGCATCCCACAGTCATATGACCATGATTTATGACGTTTTTGCTGGAAACCAGCATTTACTTCTGGTAAATATATAGGAAATTCACATGTATATGAATACATACACACATACACACACATAAACATACATACATACACACACACACATACATACATATATATAAAGACCAAACAACAAAGGTAAAGGTTCCACTCGCACATGCGTGCTAGTCGTTCCTGACTCTAGGGGGTGGTGTTCATCTTCGTTTCTAAGCTGAAGATCCAGCGCTGTCTGATGACAATTCCGTGGTCATGTGGCCAGTATGAATAAATGCCGAAGGCACATAGAACACAGTTACCTTCCCACCAAGGTTGTACCTATTTTTCTACTTGCATTTTTACATGCTTTTGAATTGCTATGTGGGCAGAAGCTGGGGCAAGTAACGGGAGCTCACTCCGTTACATGGCGCTAGGGATTTGAACTGCTGAACTGCTGACCTTTCTGATGGACAAGCTCAGCGCCTTAGCCACTGAGCCACCATGTCCCCTAAATAACAGAAGGGATCTTCAAATGGCATAGGACGGTTCTTGCTTACCGTAAAGAGTTTTGCTGCTGCTTTTGCGGAGAGTTTAAATGCTGCTTTCTGGATTTCCTGAAGGACGAGAACAGAGAAGCAAACGGTGTTCTCAGTCCTTCTAGTATGGAAGTGGATCCAGGTTTCTGGGCTTGGGGGACTTCTAAAGCAGAACCTTTTGTGTTTGCAGGATCTGAAAAAGAAAAACTAATGTTAATAAAAGATACGGCCATATATCGTACAAAACAGTCATGATGTTCTGTTCTGATTATTCAATTTCTAGAGCCGTCCAAATCAACTAAGTGACACAGTGATATTATTTAGTAATGAAGATATTTTTTTAACAGGACGTCCCTAGTGTAAGTAGTCAAATAAAGAAAATATTTTTAAATGACCAAAATCTTATAGCAACAACAAAAGCTCATAAGATTTTTGACCTTCTTTCTGGAAAATAATTTCTGGAGCGGAAATTTTGAATAGTTCAGAGAACCGGTAAATACCACCTCTGACTGGCCTCGCCCCCATCTATTTTCTGCTTCCCGAGTCCCAGCTGATTGGGAGGGAATGGGGATTTTACAGTATCCTTCAATTGCCACGCCCACCAAGCCGCGTCCACCAAGCCATGCCACGCCCACCAAGCCATGGCCACAGAACCAGTGGCCATAGTAAAAATATTTGAATCCCACCACTGAAGCATACCTAATATTTCTTCTTCCTCCTATTTTCCCCACAATAACAACCCTGTGTGATGGATTGGGCTGAGAGAGAGACTGACTGACATGAAGTCACCCAGCCAAGCCTAAGGCAGGACTAGAATTCACACTCTCTTGATTTATAGTCTGATGCCTTAACCACTAGACTGAATTTACTATTCTTGCTCAGTTCTGTGAAATATAAGTGAGGGTCCATGGAGATTAGCTGGGGGAATTGTCTATACCAACTTGCCAAAAGGCTTTGCATTCCTGATTAATATGGCAGTCCTAAAACATTTGTGGCTGTTAAGATGATCCACGTAAAGGAAAGAGTGAGAACTGTGGCTTAATATGGTGCGAGAAGACCACCAATGGTGATTAAACCACCTGGGTGTAGAATAAAAAAAAGCTAGTTGGCAACTCGATAAAAGCAATAGCACCACAAAAGTGTTTCTTACATCTTTATTAGTGCTGAGTAAGGCAATCGACAGACTCAAATCTTTTGGCTCTGATATCTGATTATCTTGTCACTTGCATGTTTCTGAGCTCCACCCCATCTGTCAAATTCTATCATCCATTTCATCTATCTAAATTGAGTTTCTGTTTCTTGACAGGTAGATCCGAGAAACCCATTGTTTTATCCGCAATCTGATTTATCTAAAGTGCTTTTGTGTGTCTTATCTTCCGCAGAATGACAACAGGACTTGAATGCAGTAAGTCAATCACCTTTCTGCAGATATTCCTGTGATACACAATTTATTATTTTCTTCCCTGTAAAAACTCTTTTAAAAGCGCGAGTAGTGATCCCACTAGAATGAATTTTCTGTTGTAATCAGATAAATGTCTTCACTTGATGGAAAACCAAAATTAAGTCTCAGTATTGTTTTTTAATATTGTTTTCTACACTAGGAAAAAAAAACTTAATCATGTTTTAGTGCTGATGCCAAACAGAAGCTCAATTATGTATGCATATATATATATATATGTATGTATGTATGTATGTATGTATGTATGTATGTATGTATGTATATATATATATATATATGTTGCATTTGTGCTGATAAATAAATAAATAAAGGGAGACTAGTATAGATCTATTTCAAGCTATTCAACTCTCATCAGCTAGCCATACCCTTATTGGGAAGTGTGTGTGTGTGTGTGTGTGTGTGTGTGTGTGTGTGTGTGCAGGTATCCATCAGTCTGTTTGTGTGTATATGTAGAAAGCTTAACCTTTTTTTTCCCCCCATGCCACAGATCGCATTGTTATTCATTGTGAATAAACAACAGTAGTGACAACTCACTGTGTCCCATGGCCTTTTTCAACCGGTGAGCTAGTGGTTGTTTTGGTGTTCTGCTGATATCCGTCTCACTTTTAAATTTTCTCTTATGGAAATCTTCAAGCCATTGTCCTGTCAGTCCTGGACACCCTGCTGCATCTTCATTTTTCTTTTGATGTTTGCTTAAACAAAGACATAGATATTAATGAACAGCTTCTTATTTCCCTTCAAGGTCTCATTAATGTCCACAGGAGAGTTATGGTTCTCTAAAATAGGCTATAGGAAATCCATGTTCAGTGACGGTAATTGTGCATGGTTGCTATAAGAGGCAATCAGTAAATAAAGACCACCTATATCCGTGATGGCAAACCAATGGCACGTTTGCCACAGGTGGCACACAGAGCCCTCTCTGTGGGCACACGAGCCACCGCCCACCTCAGCTCTACAGCGTATGCTCATGCGCCTCCCGCCAGCCAGCTGACGTTTGGGTCTCTGCCGTGTATGTGGGAGACATGTGCATGTGCAGTGTAGCACGGGGGTGTACAGCACTCCCCCTCGCTCCATTTTTGGTGCCAGGAGGCTTCAGGGAGGGCCTCCTGAGACTGGGGGAGGCTGTTTTTGCCCTCTAAGGGGCTCGAGCAAAGCCTCCAGAGCCTGGGGAGGGCGAAAATGCCCCTCCCCACGCTGTGGCGCAGGATGCCTAGTAGGCTGCACTGGGGGGGGGTCACGCACACAAGCGTGGGGGGGTCATCATGCATACATGCGCAGTGGGGGCAGTGCATTGTATTTTGGGTGTGGGCATGCACACGTGATAGCACACACATGCAAATTTTCGGCACATGAGGAGAAAAAGTGAGCCATCCCTGACCTATTTTCTAAAGACTGCGGGAGAATATTGTTTGAAAATTCTAGAAGCACAAATTGGTTTTTCAATTGCTCTCAGGGTAGGAAAAGATTTGGAATCCCACCACTGCTCTGCACCCTTTCTAGATTCTCAATATCTTTTTTGTATCATGGGGATCCCTACTGGATGCAATATTCCAATGCGGTCTTACCAAAGCATATGAAGTATTACTTTACACTTTAGCATGTGATATAAAAAGTAGTAGACGCTAAATGAAAATAAAGCAAAGCTGCCCCAAACCATGAAGTCCTTTTCTATTCTGAGCATAATTCACATAGAAACTTTTAAGAAAGACCTTCTGAGAAGAAAGGGATAGAATTCAAGAATTACAGCAACCTGATGGTTATCCATATAAGAACTAATAGTGCAGAAACGTATTATTGTCTTTCTGCTGCCTTCTGTTGAATTAGCAAACTAACATGTCTTTCACTAATAATGAAAGAGCTTGCAAGTGGTTCTTTACACAACAGTCTCTTAAATTTTAATCAGCCCATGAACAAGCCACAGTTCATAACAAGGGAGCGTTTGACCTGAATGAGTCATCATGTGTTCAAACACCTGGATTCAGAATTAGTACAAACTTCCAGAGTGGAAGATTAATCCCGCAGTCCAAAGCGCCACAATTTTTGTGTTAGACTGCATCAGAGGCTCTTCTCATTCTTTCAGTCTCCAATGTTCCCCTTTGGGAGAAAATTTTGGGAATGATGTTGGGTTAATATGAAGATGAGGCAGGTATAATTCCACGTTGTTTACCACAATGTTTCTCATTCTGGGAGTGGAAATCGACACTTAAAATTGCAGAGAAACACTGGTTTAGAGGCTATATGGGACTAATGGGAGAAAACATGTTCTAACGCAGGGGTATCAAACTCAAGGCCCGCGGGCTGGATCCGGCCTGCGGGGTGCTTAGATCTGGCCTGTGGGGCCCCCCTGGAAACAGCAAATGACCAGCACGTGGTGCCTCTGCCAGTGGAAATGGACTCCCCCCCCAAGCTTCGTTTTCACCGGCAGAGGACTGCAGAAGGCTGTCGCGGCTGAAAATGGAGCTTGGAAACCAGTTTTCGCTGGCAGAGTGCTCGAGCTACACAGGTGCCCCCAACATGAGTGAAGTCAAGCTGGCCATGCCCCCTGACCCCGCTGAGGTCAAACATCACCCTCAATGAAATCGACTTTGACACCCCTGTTCTAACTGAATCCTAGCAAGAGAGAAAGAGAGAGAGATTATTTATGCAGAATATCCATTTTTGTGTCTTTATTTGTATGTATTATGTGGACGACCATCTCAACAAGTGGACAGTGAACAGGATTAAAATAAAAACAATTAAACACATGATACAAAAGCTCTATCTGCTCCTCCATGGGCCCCAGATAGAGTCACACTCTCCCTGAAAGATAGGAGACATAAATTTTGTAACATCTCAGAATGTTATGTATGCCAAGACCCTTGTGGGGGGAAAATAATATATAATATAATATAGATCGGTGGGGTCAAACTCAAGGCCCGGGGGCCAGATCCGGCCCATGATATGGTTAGATCTGGCCTGCGAGGCTGCCCTGGAAACAATGAAGAGCAGCCCCCAGCGCTTCAGCCCTGGCCCAGTTGGCTGGGCACTGATCTAAAACTTGGTGGTGACCAGCCTTAGATCCGCGGGGCTGCTTTGCAGTCAGCGAGGGGCCACCACCGCCCACTGGGCACGTGCTGGAGACAACGAATCCCTCCAATCCCACCCCAGTCATGACCACCCAGTCAGCTGCGACAACCCGGCCACGACCACCCCAGCCATGCCAACCCAGCCCTCCAAGGTCGACCACGACCCTGATACGGCCCTCAAGGAAATCGAGTTTTGACACCCCTGATCTCGATGGTTTAATATATTGGTTTATTTTGGCCCATTAAAAGGTGTGGCAAGAAAACAATACTGGTAATCCTTGACTTACAATCGTTTGTTTAGTGATTGTTCAATGTTACAACTGCACTGAAAAAAGCGACTTATTGCTGTTTTTCACACTTAACGATGCCTGCAGCATCCCCATGGTCCTGTGACCAAAATTTGGATGCTTGGCAACTGGCATGTATTTATGACAGTTGCAGGGTCCTGGGATCATGTGATCATCTTTTGCGACCTTCTGACAGGAAAAGTCAATGGGGAAGGCAGATTCTCTTAACGACCACGTTACTAACCTAAGAACGGCAAAAATTCACTTAACAACTGTGGCAAGAAGGGTTATAAAATGGGGAACAACTCACTTAACAACTCTCTTGCTTAGCAATAGAAATGTTGGGTTCAATTGTGGGTCATAAATCGAGGATTATCTATACAGGGCTTGAATCTGCTGTACCATGACATCAAAGTCACAGTTTTTTTAACAGCAATCCCACTTTTGTCTCCAGTGTATATTTTTTCAAAAAATTATTGCATTAAATACTTCTGCCATTAGGAAACTGAAAAAATACATTTCAAATTTGTCAGACCATTTTTCTCATATACTGGGATAATGGGAATTGTATCCTTGTATCTGATGGATAAGGACAGTTCCAATAAGAAGAATAAATCTCTGAGCAAAATGCAAGAATTAACCCAGTTATTAATTGTTAAAAACTAAATATAAAATGTGACTGCCATAGAAAGAAGAAGGGAATGAGCCTTTGTTACAGATTATATCTGACTGGTGATTCACCAGGAGTATATATGTTTTTCCTCACTTCATTAACTTTCCGGACAGCATATTATTACTATAATCAATATAATGAGTCTACATTCTTGGCGTGCCTATGAGAAATACATAGACAATATAAACACAGCATACGTTGTAAAAAAATGTTCCTCTTTTTGAAAAAAAAGAGCTAGATTTTTCAAACCTTCTTATAAACTTTCTGCCAGGCATGAAATTTTAAGCATAAAATTAGACTCTTTGTTTCATCACCTCTTAACAGAGTCTCCTTCAGCATCACCTCTCCATGATAAATCCCTCAATCAAGAAAAAAAACAAAACTCAAGAAAATATGAGCAAACTGGCAAACACTGTGATGTATCTATCACATTTAATTAAAATAAAAGCTAAAAGAGTTTGCTAACCTGGTCACAGCAGGTGGCAGTCCTGAGTTGACTTTGACAGATCTGGGAAAAACCCGTTGGGGGTCAGATCTTCTCAGCGCTTTAAAGAGCTGAGGAAATTCTAACTTTGGGGGCTAGACCAAGAAGGGGAAAAATGTATTCAGTCCGAAGAATTCTTAGCAATGGGCATTCTGACTGAGCTTTGTAAGATTCGAAACCCAGATCTCTAGGAATTGTCCAAATTAGGGAAGTGTATGGAAACATGAAAATGTGAGTAGATAAATAGGTACCATTTCGGTGGGACGGTAACAGTGTTCTGTGCGCCATCCTAGAGTTGGACACAACTGGGCAGAGAAACCTTTACCTTTATGTTAGCCTCGGATATATGCAAGGTTAAGTACCAAGATCACAAAATGGAAATAATTAATAATCTGCCTCTCCTCCTATACTCTGCCGCTCCTACTGAATCTCCTATGGCAGCTTTCCTCAAATCTATTGCCCACCAAATATATTGGGCTGTCACTGACATGCAAGATAACGGATGAGGCACCTTGAAGTCCAACATAACTGGTGGAAAGGGTGGCAGAGCCTTTGATTAAAGTGCCAACTGGGCCTTTCCAGGGTCGACTTTCATTTGAACTGCTGCGCGCGAGAAAAAGACAAATGCTCCCCCTGTATCTAACAATATAGGTGCTGGTCGCTACCTATAAAGCCCTACATGGCATCGGACCTGGGTACCTGAGAGACCACCTCCTGCCGATTACCTCTCTCAGACCAATTAGA